GCGGTCGCCGAACGGCTCGCTACTTTTGACTCTCGGATGGTCGGAAGCCACGCATCAAATGGAAGTTATGTTTCTATCAAAAGACCATTATGTCCCTTATTAACTCATTTTCAAGGGTTTTTAACTGTAGAGGTGGTGTGAAATTATTGTAAGCGTACAATCCGCACAAGTAATATAGAAATAAGTAAAGTGTTGTTCTCACGAAAATTGTAATTTTTTAATAAAATATCAATTATGATTAATTTAAAAGTTTATTTGAACAATTGATTAGTGAGAGTGATTGATTTATTAAACTACATTAAAACAAATATGAAAAATAGCAATTTAATTAACGGTGGAAAATCAAGTTGATGAGACACTAGAGCCTCTGATTTCACCATAACCAATTCCACTTAATTCTTGTAGCCAAATAACCCTAATTACTACCCATGTTGATAGTTAGTTTCTCCTAATTCATTCAATATCCCCTCTCGGGCTCAACTAAAAGTATTCTCAATTAACAACTCATTGCCTCTCTCGAGTAACGAATTTAGAAAATTAAGAACCCATTAAGTTCTATGAGAACCTAAAAGAAAACTACATGTGTCATGTTAGTTCCTCTCGGGCACTCATTCAAGACATGATATTTGTTATGATAAGAAAACACCAAACATCTCCTCCCAGTCTCCACTTGGATCATCAATTAAATATTAGCTAGATATTTAAAGCATTAAGAACAATAACAAATACTCAACATGGAATAGTAATCAGAAATTAATATAACTATAAAAATTAAGTATTCATGGTTGGGCTACATCGTAGCCCTAGCAAGAAAAATTAGTTCATGAAAAAAGAAAAGATAAACAAGAAAATTATTGTCATAAAACTGATTTGGCCGATGGATTTGATCTCTTGATTCTCCACAGCAACACCTTCGTAAGCTCTAAAAGCACCGCCGCAGCAAACTCTTAGCACTCTCTCTGAAAAAGTATATGGTATCAAGATGGTTTGGCTCTTAGGTTAAAGCTTTGTATTTATAGGCCAGGGGAATCCTGCAGAAATAAGGGAAATATATTTGTAGAGAATAATTGGGAAATAGAAGGACAATAGAAAATTAATGGAAATAATATGAATAATGGGAAAGTCCCAATTGGAAAATGAGAAAAGGAGTGGCTGAGACTCTTTTAATTCTTTTTACAAGTCTAAGGTTGCACTTCTTTTATCGACTGAGAGAAAAAGTGACGCAACAAAGAAAACCCAACCATGGTAATATTGAATCTCAACATGATTAATAAAGCCCAGCCGATGCTTCAGCAAATGCCAACACTTCATTTTGCGACAACTCCTCAGCAAGCGTGAAATGGGTCTTTTCCAATTTCAACAATTGACGACAATGGCTGCAAAAGCATATCAACTAGCACCTCCACCGGTCTTCGCATGATTTTGGCTCCAAAATAATGGTAAATTTCTCTAACTTTATATTTTTGGCGCTGGTCACTGAGACCAGTTGTGGGTATAAATTGACACTTGCACATATGCACTCCATGTGTTCAATGAAATGATACAGTGAGTTCTTGAGATTTCGTTGAGTTGATAATTCCACCCATTTTGATCCCTAAAGCTTCCAAAATCATAATTTTAGCTCCAAACCCTTGCTAGGAATAATTGCCTACAAAATCCTCATTAAATACATTAAACTAACCAATTTCACACGAAAATAATGCAAATAAAGATAGATTATATATGCAAAATATGAATCTATCAAGAGGTCCCTAAAGTTTAACCTGAGTTTCAATTGAGTCCTGGAATTTTTTTTAGGCAAATAGGTCATCCAACTCTCTCATCTATTCCAATTAAGTCATTCTGTTACCTTCCATCAATATGGCTGTCAATTTGAGGGTCAAAATTGTCCATATGAACTAAAATATTAATAAAGTAGAATAATGTAAAATGAAAAAATGAACCCTTCTTCCTCATACAGCCGTCCAAAACCAACCCTAGACGCCAAGCACAGTTCCAAATATGTCATATGGAAGAAACATGTGCATTCTACTATTTCAGATTCTCTCCCTCACCTCATATGAGAAGCAGTCCATTCCAGATTCCTCGGTACCACATATAGGTCTGTTTCCCTTGCCTTCATCGCTGGCACTTGACCTCCTTCTCTTACTCGGATTCCCAAAATCATCCCATGTGTCAGCACCTACTTTGCAACCCCCACCCCTACCATATAAAGTAAGACGCCTCAAAGATATTCCCATCGCATCATCCTCCTCTTCTCTTTCAAGTCTCTGATTCTTCCTCCTCAACTTATGGCTAACACTTCTCATCAAACGCTTTGATACACGCAAAGCTTCAAATCCTTGACAAATAGATTCTTCACCAGAGAGTTTATCCAAAAAGCCCTTGTGGTGGTGAGGGGTGGCTATGGTGTTGAGGGGTTGAGAAAAGCCCTTGTAATGGTGGTGATGGCTATGGTTATGAAGGGTTGAGGAGGTAGAAGATGAAGAAGGGGTTGAGGAACTATAAATGACATTTTTAGCCCTCATGTTGACGGCCAAATTGACTTACCGTCACGGTAGGACCCAATTGGAACTACTTGAGGAGTTCACGGATGTAATTGCCTTTAAAAAAAGTTGGAGGACTCAATTGAAACTCGAGGTAAAGTTGAGGGACGTCTACAGTTAAAAATCCCATTTTTAAATATTAGGTATAACCATAATTACGGTGTGTTTAAATGAGAAAATTTAAAGGCTTAAATGCTAAAATGGTCCCTGTATTTTACTCATTTTGCCAATTTAATTCCCGTGTTTTTAATTTGGCCAATTGAGTCCCTGTATTCTACCCTACTAGCCATTGTTGTCAATTCCATTAAATTAACTTAAAAATTCATTAAAACTTTAAAAATTAATTAAAAAAAATTTAAAAAGTTCAGTTTACAAATAAATAAAAAATATGAACACAAATTTTAAAAAAAAATTATATAAAAAATCTAGAAACTCAACAACCTTTATGTCCTTCTCTCATTCCGCATCCACCGAGAACTAAATCAAAACTAGGCCTTCATTCTGGTTTCTTGCCATACTCGTAGCAAGGAGCATCATTCTCCTCTGGCAAGTACAGATACATCGCCAGGAAAAAGCAAGAAAAGCTCGATGAAGTTCAGCCCAATGGTTGGCTTGATGCCATGAAATCCTCTTCACCTCCCTAGAAGAAGCTCAATAAGGATTTCAATGTTGAGGTTGCCTGAGATGATGTTAATAATGCTTGCTGCTAAAAATTAAAAAAAATGGACTCCAGTATGTATTCAAAGAGTGTAGCCGCTATACTATACTATTTATTTAAACAAAATTTAAAAAAAGGACCACAGTATAGCCGTTCGGCTATACTACTTATTAAAAAATACAAAAAAAAGGACTCAGTATAACCGAGCGGCTAAACACTTAATATATTATATTTAAACAGTCTAGCCAAGCGCCTATACTATTTTTTAAAATAAAATAATAAAGGACCCGCCTCATTCCTAAGTGGGCTTTTAAAAAAAAAGTAGTATAGCTGCGCAGTTATATACAATTAATTTTATAAAAAAAAATTCAAAAAACACCACAGTATAGCCGTGCGGCTAATGCGATTTATTTAAAAAAGTATAGCCGTCTTGCTATACTACTTATTTTTATAAAAACAAAAACAAAAAAGGACCTTAGTATAGCCGTGTAGCTATACTATTAATTTTTATAAAAAAATCGCAATATAGCCGCATGTCATCATTTAACGACTCCACTAACTGAGGCACTAATTCGTATGTTTTTGGTGAGATTGGGTATGTACGTGAAAAATTTTAAATGTTGGGTACTAATTTGAAATGACCCCCAAAGATTGGGTACTTTTATGTAGTTAGCCCTAATTTTTTTTTTTTATTTAAACAATGAACAAGGGAAAAATTGAAGGAAGAAAAATTCACAGAACCCAAACTTGTTGCTCTAAATAAATAAGATAAATAAATTTATAAAATAATAAAAAAAAAGAAACAAAGAAACAACAACCAAGAGAAGCCAGATGCATGGGAACTAAAATCTCCCAGCTGAATTCCTCTTGGATTGGATGGAGGAAAATAACTCGGGAATTAGCTAAAAGTTGGGAATTGAATAGGGGAAATTGATATTTACATTGTTTGGCAACTTAAGCATGGAAGTTATTAAATGACGGCAGAAAAAATCGTGGAAATTGAGGATCAAGATTTCTGAGTTTATTTTCGGCTAAAAGAGGCGTCATTTCACAATTTTTATTGAGCATGAATTCGTTTTTAGTGTAATTTTTGTCATTAACAAAATTCGACATACCTAAACCCAAACACTAGAATTATTAATTGCCAGAAATGTAAACGATGGATATCTAAATTTCATCATTTAAGAATTCTATGTAATTTTCAATTCCTTCATCCAAACGGAAAGTCATTGAATTGTAGGATTGGAATGTCTTGGTACCCTTATGATTTTTCAATTAATTTTCAATTAATGTGACTTAAAGTTGAATTTGGATGGTGAAGAGGTATTGTCTTTGTCTCTTGCCTTGGCTTGAGATTTTGTTGTACCAAGTGAAAGTGATAAGGAGCTGCTTCTGGGTTGATAGGTTGATTATGTCTACCCACTAGATCCTCAAAGAAGAATCCACAAAATCCCTCATTCTAACATCACTAATTCACACACATAGAGGCATGAACTGAGTTCTAATTTAGATTAGTAAAAGGTGAAGGCGAAGTTGAAGCTTCCATGACGACGATGTTTCCCAACAATATCAGCGCCGTTGCCACCGCCACCATCGTGGACGCAGCACCACCCGACAACTCTAACCTATGCATCTTCCCACGATGACACGACGATCGCATGTTCGAAAGGCCGACGCAACTCTGAGACAAGGCAAGCGGTTTGATTCGTCCTCTACCACCGGCTTGCGCTATCGAGATGAGTGAGCGTTTAGAGCCAAGTTGAACAACGAGTGCGCAGTTTGTTTTTCCTTCTTTTAACCTATTACCCAAAACAACCAATTTCCTTGGGTTTTAAAAAAAGGTAAACTGGTGAAATGCCCCCAGAACTTGTATCTAACTTTCAATTGACCCCTTATCCTTTTTTCCATAGAAAATTAAGGATATGAATTTTTTTTTTGCCCATGTCTCCCTTGCCGTCTAAATCCTCAATATTTCATCCAATTTGCCATTAAATATGAGGGCAAAATGATCATTTTGTATGTTAAAATTAAATAAATATTGAAAATTTGAAATAAATCTCTCTCTCTCTCTCTCTCTCTCTCTTTTTACAGGGTAGGTTAAGGGCTTAGTTATGGGTCTACAAGTGGGGGATGGGAGCAGGGGTCTGTTGCTGCCAAGGAGGAAGGGAATGTGGAGAAGAAATCGAAAGGGGTGAAGGGCTAGGGGTGGATCTTGGGTGGGGATGGGGTGGTTGTATGGTGGCATTGGGCTTGGGGGAGGTCTAGGGAGAGAGAGAGAGGATGATGCGGGAGATGGAAGGGGAATGAGGGTTGGGTTATGCGCATAGTATGAAATATCGATAATATTGACGAAATATCGAGGATATTTTGATTTTTTCGAATCACGGATATTTCGGAACATATCCATGTACATATCGTATAAATATCGACAATATCGACGATAATATTGGAAAATATTGATGTTGATAATTTCGCTCACACTTCAACAATATTTTTTCAAAATATCAGTGTAATATCGCTAAAATATCGAAAATATCGATGTAAAGGAAAAAAAAAAGGAAAAATGGGAGAAAAAAAACATAAAGGGGATTTGAATCCCTCCCATTTTACTCCTCCAACACCTTAACCATCATATCACTTATGTTTTTTGTGATAATATGCTAAAATATTTATATTTATATGGGTGGCATGTTAACAATTACATGCAAAACTATTTTGAGGATTTATCATTTGATGACTACTCTTCACAATACACTCATAGAGATAATGAAGATAGTGAAAAATTTAAACCTCATAGGAACTCTATGTGGTACTAAGTCACTCATGTATCTTACCATTCAATGTATAAAGTGTAAAATATTGTAGTAAATCATTATATATAAATAATTATGGTGTGTTTAATTTTTTTCATTAATTACTACATATTTTCTATACTCACAGTGTTTGCCAGCTCGCTGTATAATCAACTTAAATCAGTTAAATCCATCATACAATGCATTTCCTTCTAATTTTTTTGTGATAAACTAATAGATAATTGACTAAATAAACATTCTCCAAAGTTTCAATAAAAATTTCCAAGTTTTTCTTACAATTTTTCGTGGTTTTTATTCAATTTTTATCGATATCGATAAAATCCCGATAATTCCATCGAAATTTCCGTATTTTTGGACTACCGATATTTCCAATATCATCGATATTTTAGACCTTGGTAATGCGTGTGGGGGGATGGGTTCTGGGTTCCGAGGTTGGGGGGGTGGGAGTAGGAGGTTTTAAACGACAAGGGGACATTGGCGTAAAAAAATAAAAATAATATCCTTGATTTTCTATAAATGAAAAAAAGGATAGGGAGGGTCAATTGAAAATTAGGTATAAATTTGTGGGGCATTTCACCAGCTTACCCTTTAAAAAACCCCACGTGCCCCACACAACAACTCCTAGAAAGAAAGAAATAACTCCTAGCTCAAATTGTAAAAACCCTAAAACCCTCTTTCTCCTCTGCTCCACTGAAGCTCTCGTCTCTCTCTCTCTCTCTCTCTCGCCAATGGCTGTGAGTAATTTCTTTTGTAGATATGCTTCTCCCTCGCATATTCGTATTCGTAAATTATTATGTATGTTGTACTGTGAATATTTTTCTGGTCTTTATCAAAATGGTTTCAAAATTGTCCAGTCTCTAAAATTATAGGATCTCTTTTGAGAGTTTTTAGATGCTTAATGCAAGATTTTTGGAAGGTGTTTATTTTTAACCAAATATTGCTCCTTTAGAGATTTATTTTCTGGGATAATTTTGGGTTTTCTAGTATAACATGTGGTTTGCCAGGATTTTGAGCTGCTGGCTAAATGGTATGTGGGAAACATGGAAGTATGTGTATTTGTATTAATTTTATGATGTTTTGGTTTTTAATGGGAGATTATAAACATGGTCGCTTCTTACAAGCGTAGAACAATGTTGAACTAGGGAAAGGAAAAAAAGCACAAGAATATCGTTGCAATAGGATCTTGCCCCGTACTTGATTAGTGTAGTTGATTAATAATCTGAACATTAAGCTGTACAAAATATGTTTTTTTCCCTGGTATAATTAAATTCAGTTGTTGAACATAATGTCATGCTCTGGATCTTGATACTTCTGTTGTTTTGTAAAATGCAGACAATACCAGTTAACCCGAAACCTTTCTTGAACAATCTGACTGGAAAGACTGTCATCGTGAAACTTAAATGGGGAATGGAATACAAAGGTATACTGCTTACGTTTTCTGGAAAAGTATTTGATCATTGTGGCATAGTTTTCCTTCGCTTCCTCATGCAATTTAACTCTATTTAGCATGT